CACTGATTCTACGACAAAATTAATTACGTACAGAATTACGATCGAATATTAAACGCAACATTATTTACCTGATAATTACCATATGATTTGTTGTTCACATCTGTAGACGGTCATGCTCTTCAAGGAGCGTTCACTGATTGTACGAGAATCACATCATACTAATTGTAAAATGTGCTTAATCTACGTGAACACAATGGAATTGATTGTCCGGTGTGCGTCTTGGGTGGTAGCTTAACAAGACAAGTTAATACTGGACCCCGCACATATATTTTCTTCAATGGCGAAAAGATGGCAGCCGGTTAACCTGCCCCAAGGAACACCGGCGTACAGGGTTTTCACGGTCCACTCACGATCGTACGAGTTCCCCACCGTCCGGCGATATCTTGAACCGTATAACCGGAGCTGGTAGTTAATATTCGACCAATTGTAGCTCCTTAAACGTTGTCAGGAGGGTGATAACGAGTTACAACACGGCCGCTCACTGACAGCTCTAAGGGCAGTCTGAGGCGCCTCCTGGCGAATGCTCGCCGCCCCTGTACTAAACCGTTGCCAATTGAACATTATTAGGAATTAATTATTGTCATTGTGAATTTACGTCTTTATTTATTCTAATGGTTAATTATTTATTCAACTGTTATCCTAAATGAATATATAACTGACACGAAAATTATATAATATATATATATATATATATATATATATATATATATATATATATATATATATATATATATATATATATATATATATATATATATATATATATATATATATATATATATATATATATGTCTTTCTGATATTAGCCTAGTCTAGTGGTGGCATCATATCAGACGGGAATTTATGTAATTTTAGTATTAATTTTGTATACTTATCTAACTATTGGAATCATGCTGGTTTTAATGTCTTGACACACCAGATGACCTCTCTGGTGATTATAGCAGTTAAAGTGTTATATAAAATTGTTTATTAATGATTTGGTGACGAATGTAAACTGCAAAGTGATTTTAGTTTGTCACCCATGGTTTAAGAGTTCTGTTCTAAAGTCCTATTCTGGAAGCTTGTGGACCTCGTATGTCACGTTATCTGAGTTCTCATGCCAATATGTACTATTTAGAGTCTAATATAAAAAAATTAAGAATTTTTAAATGAGTAAATTAATAATATGAACAGTGGAATAATTTTCCGTAATAACATGATGAATTAAAATTTATTAATAAGATCAAAATATAGTTTCCTCAGATGGTTCTAGACCTGATGTATTGGTCAAACCTCATGAGAATATTCTAACTGATAGGTACATCTGCAAGGTGACTACATTGAATGGAAGAATCAAGCAGGGTACCGCCCGATTCTAGTATTATCAGTATACTGAGTAATTGTAAATAGGCTACGAATGGGAGTTTTGCCATGTTAATGTGAAAAGATGTACATCTTGTGAGGTCAGTGCCACAAGGTTTTTTGTGAATGAAAAGGTCAATGACAAGTTATTTTTTGAAGTCGAAGGAGTATAAAAGCTATGATTTGTTAGAAAAAAGCCTAGCTAGATCTACTTTCTTTCTCATTTTGCTTGATGCTTTTTTATATAATTACTATTTCATTTTGTAATAGATAACAGGTAGAATGTTTGAGATGATTGGTATGGTACACCAAGGGTAGATTTTATTTATTGGCCACTGTGCGGGCCTCAAAATCACTGAGAATAAAAATTGGTAATAAAGAATGAAAAGTTATTGGTAGACATTTTACTCTGCTTAGAATATTTTAAGCTTTCAATGTATTTTTAAAACATAATTTGTCTGCTATTTCAATGCCAATTATACCCATATGACGAGGTACAGATACCACAGATGGAAGGTTTTATTTGTAATGTACATTCCGCGTCATTGCTGGAAGTGAATAAAATATACAAATCTGTATTTTTTTTTTTTTGTAGGAATATTCCTGCATGGGCCCTAAGCCTCTGGCTAGCCCACTAAGTGTTACTAGGCTTTCGCTTCTGTCTTTCTTAGGTGGTATATGAGTATTTATGACTAGTATGTTCGTTTGAGTAAGATTATGTTCAATATGTTTAACAACTTCTTCTGCTCTGTTAAATCTCACTTGAAATCTTAATTGGTTTGTAACTCTACACTGTGTTAGATAATGTTCCAGTGGTCTGTCGGGCATTTCTTCAGTGTTGACATATCCTCCCATCTTCTGGAACCTGCAATTCTATTTCCCATTCACGTGGATATCCAAGCCTGATGCGATGTAAGATTACTTCTGTTGTCCGATTATTCCCTTTTTATCAAAATAAGTGGTTAGTAGTTGGTTTGTAGATCTAATGATCCACAGAAGGCTACTCTTCTCCCACTTGCCCAATCTACACTTGAAACCTGGTTTGGTTTTGTATTAATCCATCAACCACGGGAGAGTTATTAAGACCACCGCAATAATTTACTAACCAAACATTGTAAGTATTCTGTAGTCCTGAACTATGTGCACAGTAAATTCTGTTTATATACCGAGAAGCAGGGTTTTCCTCTGTGTATGCATCTTCTGCTTGAAACTGTCCAGATAGTATCCTTATATAACGGTCGTAGTCAACTTGTTCTTCAGATCATCAGCCCTATTTCCGAAGGTGTGTGTGTGTGTGCGCGCGCGCGCTGCAGTGGCATGTACTCCTAAGATGCAAGGTAAGCATTGCTCAATTATATGGAATTGAAAATTTGTCCCTCAAATGTGGAATATTCTATTTGGAGTAACTTCATCAGCTCTATTGCAAAATAAAATTACATTGCCAGACGTAGGATGAAAATAAGTTAACTTGTTACCCTCTCCCCCCCATCCCCCTTCCTCCAAAATCATGTAAATAAGATTTAGATTAATCTAATATATTGTGGAAAACATTCTGATGCTGGAATCATGGAATATGTCCCCAAATAGTATTTGTTATTCTCCGAGTTGGGAGGGACCGGCAGCAAGCACCACCATTACCAATTCATTAAAGTCTATCGAATTCATATCCGTAAATAATAATTATCTAACCATTTTTTTCCAGTTTCAAACTTTACTAGACTATTAGATTCATTATCGTAGAACTTGAATGATGATATTGTAAATCTGGAATAATAAAATAAATATTGTAATAGACTTTTCTCACATCTTTTGGAATTTGTTTTGAAAGATGATATGACCAGCTGGGTCATGTCAACACATGAAACTCAGTTGTCTTTGAGAGCGGTGGGGCGCCGCACGCATTTGTTTAGGTTTATTACCTCTCACTCTGAAAACACGGTCCCAGTGGCCACATTGAGTTAGTTGTTGGGAACTGTCTTCCGTTTTCAAGTGATAAAAGTGCATTTACGGATATAAAGGACTGTCAAATATACAGAATTATTGCAAGATCTTCAGAGCAAGCCAGACAAAATTGTACAGCAAAGTTATTGATAATTTTGTTCAGTAGCCAAGAAGAATTCCATTGAACTCCGTTTAAAAATAGTAAGTAAAATTTTTTTTTGTTAAATTGATACCAAAATTATTAATGTTCATGTTTCAACTTCATCAAAGCTGAATCAACATTGTCATGTTAGATGAACTAACATTGCATCAACATTCATGTCAAGATGAATCAACATTGCCATTTGTTTTCCCGAGCGCTTGATCAGGTCTGGATCAATATCCTCCAAATGGTTCAGTATCTTACAAGTTTCGACGAGATAAGCTGCGTCTTGTATAGTTTGCAGTGTTACTCCTGTGGCCCTCCACCGTTCCTGGCACAAGAGTCGACTAAGTTCTGGGATGATTTGTGTCGCCTGGTATTGAATTTTCTAACACATATATACCCTTCTGATGGTGAAGTTTCCATGCTTAAATACAATAATTAAAGTAAAGGCGCACCAAAGTTTTGTACAGTTCAATAACTTTTTCTTTCAAGTCAATTATATTGGCAAAAACATATAGAATAAAATTCACTTAAAAAGTGTTTCATTGTAACATTGCCATCGGTGTACTTTGTACACCGCTGTATACGAATATTAAATTAGTATGGCAGTGTAGTCATACTGGATTATCGTTTAATAATTATCCAAAATTAATGTTCTAAATGAAGAGAACCGGTGGGAGTAGCACTAGGCTAGACGCTGCGGCTGCAGACTGACTCAAAGCCTTTGAACATTTTAACACTTACTGACGGTCGCCAACCCTCTCATAAGACTTTTTTTTATCTTTATTTAAGAAAATACAATATAAAAAGACTTGCTGCCTTAAATGTTTTGTATGAAATAAGTCAGTGGATAGAAAAGATATACATCGACAGGCGTACCCAGTTTATTTGTATTCCTGGACTATGTTGAGGACTAAATTATACTTGGTCGATCATTAAGCTGCTGTTGTGGTCTTAATGACGCTCATAAGGTTGTTAAGTGGTGTTAATATATGGCCTATCTGAAGTTTTTTCCTCCAGATTTCTTTAATGAACCTGAAAAATTGTATGACATGATTTGGTTTCGAAACGGGAACGCTGATATTAGACAATTCCCATTACAATTTTTTTGCGATGGAAAGATCTTCCAGTATTCGTGCTACTTTTCATTCCCAAGTATTTTGTGCCAATATTGGATAAATTATAGTTAATCGAGTTTCGGTCTTGTCTTAATACTAGGATTGTGTTCGGACTTGTGGTTGGCAAATTTATAAATACACCGACGTCTAATATTAAAGCCTGTATTACGTACTTGAAGTTCCTGCCAAGACGCATGCTAAGTAAATTTTGTATACACGTTTGTTATAACAGAGTTGAACGTTATTTTAACAGTTGCTTAATCAGCGCCTTCCCCCCTTCTCGGCTGCTATGAAGGTACGTTTATCACATTGTATAGGTGTAAAAATGTATACCAAATGTAGCCTATAAATTTGTATGTGGATCTGTAATTATGCTCTAAAGTAAAATCAAAATTCCAATGTATTACAATGTCTTTCAGTAAAGTTAAAAGTTTTGGGGAAAAAATACAAAAATATGGAAGAAATTTTGCTCATGTTTGACAGAAGATTATTATTAATTAGAATTTGGGAACCAACTTTCAGGAGGTTGACGTTCACATTCTTAAATATGATCTTTAACCGACAAATTAAAATACATGACAATTTAATCTCAAGTAATCAGTTGTGCATCAAAATTAGCCCACTAATTCCAGAGAATCATCAAATTCATTAAAATTATCACACTATTAATTTTTATATGCTGAAAAAAATTATCCTGGCAATATTTCTATACAAAATAAATCGGGGACATGCACACAAAAGTGTACTCCACATACGAGTATATACATAGCTTAATGTAGTCCTGTAATGTAATGTAATCCTGAAGTATATCAAGAACTGAAGCATTCTTGTTGGCTGGTTGGTTACCAAGATGTTGTGCAGGGCCTTATGAACCCTTTTACTGTTGCGAGTCCTTGTGACAAACACTCCAATTTTTTTTTTTAAACATACATTAGAATATCAGATTTACGGAGATAATCAGATAGAGCTATGTGACTGATTTAGACCAGCAACACTTACTCTCAAGCGCTGGTTCGAATCCTACGCATTTGCTCCAACTAATTTTCTCAAGAACATGCACATGGAAATAACATTATCGCGATATCAGTTATATTTTATTATGCAGAGGCACTTTACCACCTTTTATATTTTATGCCTTGTTGGAAATGGAAATAAAAAATTTAACTAAAGAAATTGATCCGTTTATTACCGATATTACTAGTTTTTTTTTATAATTTAAATATTTTGTAATTCAAAATACAATAAATAACTACCAATAATAAATATAATGTAATTTAACTGAATCTCATCTTCATCTTTCCGTGAACAAAAACAAATAACTTTTGATAACAATGAAGCCGAGGAAACATTGTCCAACATTTCCCCGGAACAAAAATCATTCACTGAATGTACTACATAAAGCAGAGAAAAACAATCATTAAAATGGTCTTTATACTCAGCGAAGCCACCAACACCTTATAATATGCATCTTAACACGAATAATAATGCCAAAAAACAGCAAATTTTGCACGTTGGTTTGCAACATGCTAATTATGTTGAAGCCACACACCCCTCGTTGCTGGGACAATGGTTATCAAAGACCAAGGATCACCCAGGCTGGGAAGGGGGTGTAAAGGAACTTTTAACATCTTTAATGATTCTTAGGTCAAGTATGAAGGACCGTCTTCATCTTGAACTAGTACAGAATGCCCAAATACGAAACTAATACTTACATATCACTAAAAACTTCTCTTTGAAATGATAAATACAATAGATTTAGAAAAACCTAATTACTGTTTACATAAGCGAGTTTATAAGCTACGAAAGTGTTTAATGTCATGCATAAACTTTGTGGGAGAGAGAGACTACAGATTTAACAATTGCGGGGACGAGGCTTGTGAGAACGGGGATTGCCCGACAGTGGGAAGCAAAGGCAGCCATACAACCCTGGCACGCTCTTGGGAAAACTATTCTCACAAGCATTAACCTCTTTGGCCAGAACAGCTACCAAACTATTAGAAGGCGGGATACAAGATTTAACAGTGAAATCCTTCAGGTACAAATAGGCTAACACACACACACACACACACACACACACACACTTCAAGAATAAGTTCTGAAAAAAATATATATTTCCAAGCGAGTTTAGAACATTTTACAATTTAAAAAAAAAATCTTGTGATACAAACTTTTATAAACACCGCTCTAATCTGTAATTTTGATGATTCAACATCAAAATTTTAAAGTATATGATACCCGGATCAAATCTGCCTCCAATTACACACAAATAAAAAAAAAATAAAAAAAGGTGGGAGGTTGGAAGACTGCCAACAATGCCGTCTCCCTTCATGAAGTAGCTAATATTGTTCTTTAGTGTGTAAATATTGTATGCTTAGGCAGGATGTGGCTCAGATCAACATAGACAAATTGTGATGCACACCTACAGCATCCCCCAGCTGTACAGGGTAGAACATTACAGCTCCAGCATTCCCCGGCTGTACAGGGGAAGGTAGTCACTACACAGCTTCAACACCCTCAGCTGCATCAATGATGATTTGCATCGCTCACGAGCTCTTTACCAGGATCAAGTCGAAGCGAGTATTATACATGTATCACAGACATCAATATATATATATATATAAAGAAAAAGTGCAAAAGTTTATTGCATCCTTGTCAGTTAATACCGATACAATCTTTTTTTAAACTTTCGATTAATAGCAACATTTTTATTTGTCAAGTGCATAAAGTGAACGTTTCAGCACAAGGAGAACTTTAACAAACTAGATTTTCCTGTCTTTGCTTATATCAACCGAACCATGGTTAGCCAGGTCTGATATATAGTTGGTGAGGATGGAGAAGTAGCGTGCAGCGTCCTCGTCGGCGATCTTATTGGTGTAGTACTCTAGAGTGACACAGAATCTGTCTCTGAATGTGTGGAAGATGAGTGTGTACGGGTGTCCTGTCAGCTCATCCGACGAGCATCGCAGGATTTTGGTGATCTCCACCGGACCGTCATATCTTCCAGGCAGGATATCACGCAGATCCCCCATATTAGTACTGATAAGGTGGCTGTCGTTCAGGTTCTTGCAGTTAAAACGAGCGAGCCAGTGATTGAGTGGTATCAGTAGGGCACAGGGAAGGAGTCCTAGAGTGTTTCTGATAGGGTCTTTGTCAACAAGGAGAGACTGCTGAAGGCTCAAATGAGAGCGTTTGGCCAACGACCAGAAGCTTTCTTTGCTATTACCATCACTGCCGCTGATGGTAAGTTCCTGCTCCTCTACAGAGATGTGGCAACCAGTGGCTTCCCGGTATTCTTTTGGGTAGTAGCGTCGCATGTTGACGCAGTTCATAGCTCTGATAGTGACTGGCTCCAGTTCAACGTCAGAGCGTTGCTGGGCAGAGTGGAACACTGCCAGATTAGCTGCAGTCATGATGCAGGAATGGACAGTAACTCCCGCCTCTTTGCAGTATTTTAACAAGTTCTGTGTATCTTTAACACATAATTCTTCATGCAAAACTTTGGTTGAAGACAATGTGCACTTTGGTTGAGGAATAGTGCCATTAAAATACACATGCTTATTAAAGTTACCAACGGTGGGACTGCATAGTTTATAAACCGCAAATTTTAAGGCATGATACCAGTGTGCTTTGGTGACCAAGTCATCACAGATGAAGGGGGTGAATGCACGTGGGGGAGGCTGATAGACCTGGCCAACCATGGCAGAGTTGAGAACCTTCAGCGTCTCTCTCGCTACGAGCATGTTTGTGAAGGCGTCAGTAGCGCAGTGGTGGATGGTGAACATGAGGACGGCCTCGTGGCGAGCCACATTGGTCTTTGGGAGAGGTACCAGCCTGGCGCGCCACAGAGGCCCTCGTGCCATGTTGTAGGGACTGTGTAACAACTTGTAGTAGATGGTCATCACGTCTCCGTGCTCCACCTTGAAGGGAACCCTGACATGAGTCCTCCGGCAGAACCAGGGCCAGAACCACCGCCTTCTCACGCACAACTGCAGCACCTCTGTCCTCCTGTGGAGGGCAAGAAATATAGTGTTAAAACTCTTAACTTGCAATGGTCACATTAAAACTTACACACTTCCTCAAAGCATGAGGGAAAACCCATTCCTTACAACACAGTGTACCAGATAAATTACAACTAGTTCTGCAGCCATTAAAGACGCCAGAGGCTCTTAAAAGCAAAAATATCAACTTGAGGCTTATATGTCGACTGACACATGGCTACTTACTGGGCAACGGTGGTAATGGCCTGCCTCACCATCTCCGGCAGGATGGGCTGTGACGAGGATAACCAAAGTGTTTGGATGGTGTTCATGGACCCGTAGTAGCCTCCAGTCACTATCAGCACCTCCAGCTTACCCAGGGGACGTATCCAGTCCTCGGATTCGAACAACGTTCCCTTAAACTCCATTCGCTTTCGCTCTAACACCCCGTCCGTGTCCACGGAGGCATGTTCTGCTCCAGACACGTCAGACACTACGAGCTTGCTTGCACACGCCGCATTCTTCTCTGGACTCTTCTTTATCCAAGACAGTACACCTAGAATTACACATTTTATCGCTAGTGAATGGAAATACACAAGATCAAATATTAAACCGCTAAACCAACACACATTGGAACTCATCACAGCAACGAACAGGTCACTTCGCTCACCTTTCTTATCCAGGTCTTGAACAACTTGACCAAAGTCCGCAAGACTTTTCTCTGGACGCGTTCCAATAGATGAGAAGTAGTTCGTATATATGGCAGTCGCCTAAAACAGATTAACATTTCTCTAATAACCAGTACTAATTAGAAGTCTGCAGGAACGTAAATTATACATTTCATTAATAATTTTATATATAACCTGTGGCAAATATTAAGTGGAAAAAAAAATTTATATATGCATTTCACATTAATGAGAATACACATTACACTACACAATGCAGGCACTACAAACGAACACTACAATACACCCACCCCAAACACACACACACACACACACACACACCACACACACACACAGATAACATTCACCATCCATACGCAAACAATGGCCATACAAGTTACAACAAGAGTAAACTCACCACAATTAAGAACGTGGCCAGCAGGTAGAGATTATAGTTGGTGAGATAGTCGAAAGTGGAGGTGGAGGGGAGGAGGTCGGCAAGCACATGGATGTGGTCCCGGGTGGGCTGATACACAGCTTCCTGGCTCGCGAACTCCATTTTCTTCCGGACCGAGTTTTTGCCTGCAAGAGGAAGTGCCAATGTCAAGAGAGCCAAGGGCCACAAGCAGTGCCCAGGAGGGAGAGAAGAGATATTTACCCAGTGACTACGGGGAAGCGAGGTCTCTCTTCATGCCCCGCCTATTAACCTTGTAACTGTTTCATTGTAATTTAACTATTCTGACGCTCTAATTCATTGTCCAGCGTGACCTTGTGGGAAGGGCGATGTCGGAGAGTTGGGGGGGGGGGGGGGGGGGGGGGAGAAAGACTCGTGGAACATATGGGGAGAGAAAAGGGGGGGGGGGGAAAGAGATGCGGAGTGCTTGGTGGGTCAAGTGCTAACTCAAGCACATAGTATCTAGCCAATGAAAAGGTCAAGGCAATGAATTATCATGCATTTGTATATAAAACTACATTAGTTAGCGTCAAAGAAATCAAACATTCTAACCAACATATTCGCAATTATTTACAGTGATGACGTTCATTCTGACATATGCCTTGTACATTTTCAAACTTCTCATACACCTAAACGAAATATTTTCACATCTCTTGAATTTCAGAAGAAAAGGCATGACAGCGATGTTACCACTTAGCTAAAACAAAATATATAGGAGGTATGAACACTTTGGCAACTTCAGTATAGAAACTAACCATTTGAGAACTTAATGGCATCCCAGGGTTTGGTAGAGATGCTTTGCCAAGGACGAGTTGCTCTCAAACTCGCTTATCCTGCGTCCAGTTAGGCCGGCCAGTCAGCCATACTAGCCAATTTATCCAGGCGGGACTTCAACTTTCTTTTTTAACCCTGACCTTGAAATCAAAGAAGCTTTTCCCCGCCCCCTTGAAGAGCCACAGCTTTCGGTAGATCCATCTTCCAGATTAAGAAAACCGAATATATTTGGGAAGTCATGCACAGCAAACTCGTGCATGATAAGGCCACAGTTTTGGTCCTCTCCCTGCGTCTAGTCTGGCATGAATGACCTTATCATTGTCCTAAGGAACCCTCCTACAGAACCTGCTCTTTATGACAACGCACACGCCCCTCGCCACATCAATGTAACGTCACTGGGAAAAAAAGGAAAAGAGCAACAAGTTTTTAACGTGGTGCATTGTCTGGTTTGCGTGGCTGGACCCAGCTGCACGACGTTCTACAGTATTATTATTATTATTATTATGACCAGACTTGGCAGTGAAGGGAGGGCAACAGATTGTGCTACAACAATCCCCGCCTCTCTGCGCACCTACAGATATAGCTTGCCAGCAGCTGGAAGAAGGGTAGCAAGTTCATACCAGTTATAGCTTAGGCTCCACCAAGATCTTAAGAAAAACGGGAGTTAACTGGTTCTCTTTCCTCCTCCTATTCCCCATCCCACCAAGGAGAGAGCACTACTTGGTATTTTTTCTGAAGTGTTGTATTTCCGAACCTGCAAATGGAGCTCAAGTTACCAAGTATCGCGTTCCAAACCTACAACGTGAAACCAAATGTACAGGCTAAAAGCGATCTGCACAACATTCGGTCCGCGGGCCACATGCCGTCCACTCGGACTTTGTCACCACGGGCCGCACATGGTAATATTCATTATTCCTTGCAATAAAGTCTTGTGTCCAAACAAATGTAAACGTTCATGATTTATAAACAAAATGTTAGCTATAAAAAATTTTGAATATTAATGTCATCGGATAATGACTTAAGAAATGCCTTTTTCCTGAGTAGATCCAATCTTTACCTTCGAGTTGCTTGGCCCACCTCTACAAGTTGTGCTGACCTGGGATAGAATGCTCATTACTCAACAATAAAAAAAAAAATGCAAAGCTCCTGAGAAAGCAATTTAGTTGTCAAGACATGAATGCAAAGCCAAAATTTATAGAATGTACAAAGGAAGATCCAATTCAGATTTTCAATAGGATTCGAGTATCCACCAGAAAAATGAAACTAAAGTTTCCGAACGTTTGTGTGTTTAAACTCATTATCAAGTCATTACTCTATGTCCTTGATAATATGTTTAAACACTAAAACGTTCGGAACTTTTGTTTTCCATTTTCCTGTTTATTCAACATAATCTAATCACTTTTTGCGATTTATTCTGCACTACTATCTAGATATTAAACAGTTATGCAGGCGACGAGTCACAATAACGTGGCTAAATTATGTGGTTAAACGTGGTAATAACGTGGTTAAACAGTTATCTAAGGTGTCATTTTGCTCGCGATTGTTTTTAAATTAGGCGACACCGTTCTGTTGACCATACGGCATGTGGTCAATTACCTTCAGAGAATACAGAAAAGAATTATTCAAATCTCTTGTATTTGAAGCCTCATCTTAACTAAGAGCGGCCAAGATCAAAATTTACATTACCTTAGGAGACAAAAGGCCTAAAGAGAAAGACAAAAGAGAGATTACCTTAAGAGACGTAATTGAAGCCTGCCAATGAATAATAAATATAGCTTCTAGTGATACAACCTCAAGATAAACATTAAACAATGGATTCAATGCATAACAATCTCGAGAACGTCATGCACGCGAGACAAAATATGGGATCCAACTTTCATCTCTGGACACTTATTTTTTTCCTCAGTGGATACAAGACTTAGAATAAATGTTAATAAATTTGAGATGACTGAAGAAGACTAACACTTAACGTAAACAATAATGCCCTACATTTAATCAACCTTTATGTGCCACAGAGTAAACTTGACCTGAATATGCTACCTGAATTTACTAACCGAGAACCTTCCCTGCGGGTGGGTGATCTTAATGTCAAGCACCCACACTTTGGTGCCAACTGTCATCAACTCAGACACAAACCAGGTTTTTACAAAAAACGGCCTTTGTGGATTCGTTCATTTGTTGCATCACGCTATTGTGATTTCTGTGTGTAATGAAGTAAGGGCGAAGAGGTAGAATAGCTTATTGGCAGAGCTCGAGTGCATGGAGGAATTTTGTAAAAACCTGGTTTGTCTCCGAGAGACTGCAGGAACCGTGGTAGGTCAAGATTTCCCGGTTGCAATTATTTTGACCATGTCGTAGCTCAGTCGATTAAGGCGCGTCTGGGATCCTCGCGGACGTAGGTTCGAAACTTCGTCACGGCCCTTGTGGATTTGTTTATTTGATGCATCACGCTATTGTGACTGTGTAATGCTCAATGCAAATGTAAGGAGCACGAGCACCAGAGACATCCCACTGACGGCAACCAAGAGCCGTTTAAAACTGAGTCAAGTAGCCAGGGAAGAGAAGATTAAAGAGCGGGAAAGAGAATGGATTGAATTTACTAGCTCTATTGGAAGAGAAATATCTGCAAGACAAGAGGACAAAAATTCATATAGCTAAAAGGGGGAGGGGGGCAGACCCCGGCCTGCGGCTCACAAAGACCCCAAGGGTAAGACTGAGGAACTAATACAAGTGGAGTGATGCAGCGTTCTCCTCCTCCCTCCCTGCAGAAGCAAGCAGATAACAGCTCCTGCGATATAATGACAAGAATTATTATAACAAGAGCACTGTCTAGTGATGAGTATGACCAACCTATCACAGCCCAGGAAGTAAAGGGGGGCTATGAAAAAGGTTAAAGTACTGCACTTTGTGAAGATGGCGTCACCTACGACATGCTCAATGCAATGTGTGAAGTGTCTGGGAATCCACTACTCCAACCTGTTTAACAAATCATTTCCAAGTGGAGTGATGCCCACACAATGGAAACGCGCAATAATTGTTCCCATACCGAAGCCCGGTGGCCCTGGCAATTACAGACCTATTAGTCTCATGTCATGCACTTGCAATATGCTTCAAAGGATTATCCTCGACCGACTGTTGCCCAAAGTAGGCAGGCTAGGGGTGGGGGGGGGGTCAATGGATTTGTTAAAGGACGGAGCACAGCAAACTGTATAGTTAATTACTTGGCTAATGACAAGTATTCTGTATTTGTCGACATAAAGGAGCCATCGACAAAGCACAGGGAATTAAGATCCTGGACGAGCTTGTGTGCACGAGTCAAGGAAAGACTCGTGAAATGGATTAAAGAGGTACCTTGAACGAAGCACTAACGGTGCAGTGATCTGCACCGATTCTAAAGCAGCATTACAAAGCGTTACTAAAATCGGGCAGAAAATCTTGCGATAGTCGCCGAGATCAAGAGCGGTGAGAGTACTAACCAATCAGGGAAGAGTCAAGTTTCTGTGGATCCCCTCCCATGTTGGAATCTGTGGAAATGAACGAGCAGATGTGCTGGCTGCTGAAGGAGACCACATTGAATACTTCATACCCAAGACTCTGCTACAAATTAGAGGAATCATCAGGAAATATCACCGTGACAAGGTTGCTGAAGAAAGGAGGATAGAACAACAACTCGCGTGAATCTGTACGCTGGTAAAACATGATTGCAGCTGGCAATCCCAATCATTAAGGACGAAGAGGTGACCACAGGAGAAAATCGGTAATAGCAAGAATCCGTCTGATGCAAATATCCATGGAGATTCGGAATGGAAACAACAGTTGAGCAGAAGAGTTGGAGAATCTGTGGCGAGTGATGGACACCGCCTTGACCACTACCCGAGAGAATGTGAACACCTGAGAGGCATTAGAAATGTGTGTAGAATAATAAACTCCACATTGTTTGAGTTAGGGAAACTATTTGTCAAATATAGATACTGTTCGTAAAAGATTCCCCCCCCCCATTTTGCACCGGCAAGATAACTTAAGATTTTAAGGGTTGACGAATGTTAATCTTGTTTGATAAGCTGTTCACTTTAGACAGTTAAGCAAGTCGCAGCTGTGTCTGGGTACAAGTGACAGGATGAACAGCCCAGCGGGTTTTTTTTCCCTACTGGGGAAGTGTTGTTCATGCTGCTATAGCGGTATATCCAGTCACAGGACGAGTTGCGCTGCCCAGCAAACTCGCCCCTCGAAGGGGTGAGGGGTGGGGTGTAAAAAAAAAAAAAAAAAAAAAAAAAAAAAAAGCTAAGGTATGTATGGACCAAGATACCAAACGATAAGCAGAGGATGGATGAAGTCGCGACATCACAACAACATG